GTCTCCTCTGCTGCTGCCTGAATTTCCCTCACCCTCACGGTTGCCCCGTTCCCACCCGTGGTTGCCCTGTGCCCTCCACACGGTGCTCACAGCATTTCCCCATCCTCACCCTTGCACTGCTCACTTGTTTCCTGTTTTCTTCTGCTTTTGATCTGCTCTGTGGCCATCTCTCACTCGCCCTGACCTGCACTTTGCTGCCGTTGGTCTCTTTCTCCTTTTCTCCCTGATGTCCCATTTGCTTCTCATCTCACTCTTCCTCAGTCTTTCCACCTACTGCTGCCACTTGGCCTGGTGCTTCCAGCTGTTTCTTGGGCATTAGCTCCTGGTGATCCCGTAGCTCCTTCAGTCTCCTCTTGGCTTTCCCTCAGCCTCTTTGCACCCTCTCAGTGCTGGAGAACTTGCTGCCCTTCTTCCTTCTTCAGCTTCTCTTCCTGACCTCCCTTCTTGTCCCTGCGCTCGCTTCGCTTCTCCCTTTGCCACCAGCCCCGTTTTCTGTCCCTATCCGCCTCCTCCTCCCTTTCTCACGTGCTCGGGGACTCCTCACCCTCCCCAGGCCGTTCCTGCCTTGTGCTGCTCACGGTTTGCTCAGGGCTCCTGCCCCTTGCTGCTCCCTGAAGCAGTGGTGCCTGTCGCTGGGGACAGTGGCGTCACGTCCCGCGGTGGAAGGCACCAGCAAGTTGACTGGTACCGATTGCTTGTGGCAGCCGGGAGGGCTGCGGGCGCGGAGGCCGTGGCAGAGCCGTGTTTACCGTGCGCGTTTCTGCGACATGGGAGGAGATCTGCGTGCAGGAGCCTTGGCTGCCGCTTGCTCATGCAGCCACTGCCACCCTTGCAGCTGCAGCTGCAACATGATGTCCCAGCGGGCCGCCCGGTGACGGCTGTGGAGAGGAGCAGGGAGCAGCCGGAGCTGCCGTGGGTGCCGAGCAGGGCTGCGGGCGCGAGGCCGGTGCGGGGCTGCTGGCTCTGGCCTTGCGGCGTTGCGTGTGGCGCCTCAGGGGCTGCAGCCATCAGACGGGTGGAGAAACGGTGCGGATTGTGCAGGTGCAGGTTTATTGTGGTTTCATTGCTGTGTGGTGACTGCAGAAGAGGGTTTTGGTTGCCTGCAAAAGAGGGAGCTCAGGGCATCCCTTGCGGCAGGGCCCCAGATGCTGCCCCGTACGGCCCGGGCAGCAGCAGGGGCTCCACTGACACCTCCGTCAATCAGGACCAGCACCGTTGAGGTCAGGGCAGTGACGCTGGTGCAAGAGGTGCTCATGACAGCAGGACCAGGCACCTGGCCCTGCAGTCACAGCACAACTGGCTGGGCACACACAGAGCCGTGGGAAGGAGGAGGGCCCCAACCACCAGGCCTTCCTCCCGTTCTGTGCTCATCCCGTAAAAACAGGGGTTCGGGAGAGAAGGATGAGTTGTGCTCCGGCACCAGCAGTTCCCATCAGGCCTCTGCACGGGTTGACGAGCATCTATAGCTGCAGGAGCCTTTCACACTCTGCACCATTTGCTATGAAAACAGATCAGTAATGCCCGTTTGCTGGGCCTTAGGCTGATGCTCACAGCTAGGCGTCTGTGTTGGAGAACCTCTGGCTCGGGATGTTCTCTGGAAATACATCAAAACACCCATTTTTGCAGTGGCAGAGGGTAGCAGGAGGAGAGAGTCCTCCATCTTCCGCCCCCCATTTCCGTGTGGTTCCTGACGTCCCACATTGCTCTAGTAAGCTGAATTACTCCCACGCTCAGCAGTAACCCCCAGCCCTGAGCGCGTGGTGCGCATTTTCGTACAGTCTCAAACAGCTGGACGTCAGGGTGTTAGTTGTGCCCGGTTGTAGCGGTGGGTTGGGGAGGGCCGGGGCTGTCCCGGGGGGATCCACCAGTGGTGCTGCCCTAGCCTAGGGAAGCCTGTGGGGTGACACCGGGTGACACCGGCGAGGAGAACGCCTTGGCCGTGAGCGACGCTGCTGCTTGGCCGCGCTGGGCCCGGCCCGGAGCCCCGCGGGCAGCGGCTCTCAGCAGGGTCGCTACATGCGCGGGCTCCGCTGGGTACCGAGCTGTGCTGGGGCGACAGGGACAAAACCTCGTGCAACCAGGCAAGCGAACCGTGCCCGGACGGAAGCGGAGCCCTTTGCCTGCTCCTGGGCTCACGCTGCGGCCTCGTGGCCCCACAAGGAGAGCCCTGGGAGCCAGTGGCAGGCCCAGGCATCTCGCCCTTCCGCAGATCCCCCCTGTCCTCGCCGTGCCCTGTCATCCCCTAAATCCACGTGGACACAAGTTGTGGGGTGCAGCGAGCAGTGTGGTCCTGACCGGTGCTTGGGTGAGGCTGCTGCGGAGGCCGTGAGGCTGCTGCGGAGGCCGTGGCCTCCTCTGTGGCATCCTGGGAAGCCGTGGAGGCAGATTTGGCAGCGTGAGGGTTGTCCAGGACCTTCCTGAAACCTCCAGACCTGCCACCCATCTCCCTGGAGGTGTGAGGGAGAGTGTGTGCAGCACTGAGGGCTGCCTCTCAACAGCATGGACCTTCCAACATGGATGTGGATGAAATCACCCTGTGGATTTCCCTTCTGTAACGGGATAGGGGGGGCCCTCAGAGAAACTCCCTGGAGCCCCAAGACAGGATGACCAAGGTTTTAGCCATTACAATTCTTATTTAGGACACTGACTGACCCTGGGATTTCTTCTCTGCTTCCTTTGCGCTTCCAGCTCCCTCGTGCAGGGCTGGGAAGGTCTGCTTTCACCTCGCTCATCCGTTTCTCTGTAATTCACCCTCGTACCAGAAACATTCCCCTAACACTCCTGAAAACAGCCTTTAACTGCAGCAGGATAATTGCAGGTGATGTGCTGGTGCCTCGTTTGAAAGCCTTGGAGCTGCCGTGCCCGGGAGCCGGCCGTCTCCGTATCACATTCCACTGGAATGGGGATTCGGGCGCAGGCAGGATGAGAGCAGCCCTCCGGAGCAGGGAAGGAGCTTGCCCTGGCCGCCAAGGTCAAGGCTCCGATCCCATTACCTGCCAGCACGGTGTCATCCTCTACCGCAGGCAGCAGCGCCGCAGAGGGGGCCGGCGTGCCCACGCGGCGAGAGGCCTTCGGAGCGGGCGCTCCGTCCTGGGTCACCAGCAGCAGAGCTGATGCGCTGGTCGCTGCTCTTCCCCTCTGCCTTGCCCCATTAGGACGTGATTCCCAGCCTGTCTCCTCGTGCGGCCTCACCGGCGTTCCGGCATGGTGCTAGCAGGGTTGGGGTAGGTACGTGGCTCCCTGTAGCCTTGGCAGCGTTTCTGAACTGCCACCGAGCATCCCTGATGGGACAAATGGAAACGCAGAGGCTGAGAAGTGAAGGCCCTAGGACAAGCCTCTGCTCAGAGCTTGTAAATGCTTCTCAGCTGAGTTATTTCTGCCTGGCAAAACTGTGTGCGACTGCATCTCGTTAGAGAGCCTTAATGATGCAGAATAATGATGTGTACTGTCCCTCACCCCGGGGATGCGTAAACAGACCAGGCCACGCTTGTGAGAGGAGCAGGTCTGCACGAACGAGCAGCCTGGAAACGCACCGTCCCCCTGGCACGAGCTGCTTGGGCTGTCCTGGGACCAGGCTCTGCAGCGGGAGCAGTCCGGGGCTGCAGCGGGTGACTTGGGCAAGTTGGCCAAGTCCTCGACGCAAATATTAGGAAGCAGGAGACGGCAGAGGTGAATAGAAAGTATTTGATGTGTCAGGGTATTAATTCCCTCAGTTTTGTACTGTTTAATCTGAAACATGAAAACCTGTAGCTCATTATCACTTTCCTGCTGGCTCGTTCCTGATGTGTTTAAAAGAATTCCTTAAGCTGGATTAGATTCGTCGTCTTCTGTCCAATGGAAAGGCTTAAGAGTTTTGTTCTTTACTCTGCATGGAGATGTGATGGAGTGAGCCGAACATCAGGTTCCCTACAGAAACAGCCATTTTGCCTGCAGGACGCCAGTCGGCTTCCAGAAGCCTGTAAATTTTTTTGTAAAAAATCACATCTTCCAAACATGCGGAGGAGCTGAGCGTGTCCCCGCAGGCCGTGCACGGGTTGAGGGGGAGAAGAGGAGGTGCAGTCCCGCGTCTGGGCACACGTTCAGCTTCCCAGGTGCCCAGTGCCAAAAGGAGGCGTGGAGCCACGGAGACTCCATGTTCCACTTGGACATAAAGATAACCCCAGCCAGAGTTCTCTCCCTCCTGGCAGGCAGCAGGAAGGCAGCTCTGGGAGGCAGCAGTGAGCAGGCGGGCGCTGCACCCCGGCCGTGCCCGCGGGACTGTCAGTGAAGAAGCAGGGGGTTCACTCCAAACGGAGCCTCTTTCCCGCAGGGGACGAGGCGGGAAGCAGTTGTGCATCGCCCGTGGCCCTCCAGGCTGGCCTGGGAGGAGATCACTTCTGGTCCCTGTGCCCTGGGGCTGGTGCCAGGTCCCTGTGCCTTGTCACAGTGCCTTTATGGGTGTTTGGATGCTGCACAGTCCAGTGCAGGGCAATGCAGTAAAGAATCGAGCCACCAGCGAGTTCTGTGCGTCCTCAGTGCCAGTCTCTTTGTGTCCCGGTCCGGGTGGCACCGGGCAGGGACCTGTGGGTGCCACAAGAGCTCCACGATCGCTTGAGCCCTCCACTTCTTGCTGTGCAGAGCGCGCGCGCGTGTGTCCCTGCCTGGCTGGTCCCATTCTCCTGAAAAGGGCTGCAGGAAGCCTCGGGCTGTGGGGTGTCACGGGGTCGTTGCAGAGGCCCTTTACCATCTCCTGGCCCCCGCAGGCAGCTCCAGGGAGGACCTGGCAGCCCTCCTGGTGTTTCCTTGGAGCAAAGGGCTCTCCAGCTCACTGTCTGGGCTTCTCTCTGTCACCTGGGGACCCCCCGTCCTGGGGCTGGTGCTTGGGTTCCCACGAATGGGGGCTGCTCTTCTTCAAACAGTGAGACCAGCATAAGAGGAGGAGGAGCAGGAGGGACCCGGACGGGGAGTTAAGATGTGTCCCGGCTGTGTGACGAGCTTTCGGGTTCCTGCCTCTCCTGCAGGCTTGCCGTGATTTCCTGGACTTAGCCGAAACTCACAGTCGGAAATGGCAGCGGGCGCTGCAGTATGAGCGCGAGCAGCGGATCCGCCTGGAGGAGACCATCGAGCAGCTAGCCAAGCAGCACAACAGCTTGGAGCGGGCCTGCCGGGGAGCCCCCGGCCTGGCCTCGGGCGGCGCGGGCATCGCCAACGCTGCCAAGGGTGAGTGGCTCCGGGATGGGGGCGGTGGGCATGGCTGTGGGGCAGAGCCTTGGGGGAAGGCAGGGAAAAGGGGTTTTCCATTGCTGCCGGTGGGGCGGGAAGGATGCCCATCCCTGGGTGCCCCAGGGTTTTTCTTGTGCAAAAGCTGGTTGAAAGGCAGCGGTGCCCCTGGGAGAGGTGCTGCCGCAGCTCGCCCTTGCTGTGCTCCTGTGGGAGCCCTGGGAGCGCCTTGGCTTGTCCTGCTGCTCTTGCGTGGGCGCTCGTGTCTCCCCGGGCTTTGGGACGTGGGTGCAGGCGAGGGACGTGTCCCCAGAGCAGTTTGCCCACCTGTGCATCCAGATGGCTGACGGGCCGTATCCCTGACCTGTAGGTCGTCTCTGGCTGCTGGACGGTGGGTTTATTGCTCAGAGGCAACCGACGGGTCCATCGCGCTGCTCACGGGAAGCAGCAGTCCATAAAACCTAACGGCTTCTGATCTTAGTGCCGAACCCTCTCTCCCGTGCACAAGGCAGTAGGTTTAGTCTGGGCAATCTGCGAATTGAACCCTGCCATATTTGCAAAGAACGTGGACTAAAGGAGGAAACAGCTGCTGTTGGGGGGGACGATGGCAGTGCCTGGTGTCACCCCCCTGCTGACACCTCCCAGCATGGCGGCTGGGGCGGGCAGGGGCTGAATCAGCACAAACACGGTGTGACCTGACCGCAGGCCCCACTGCGAGAGGTGGCCTTGCTCTTCTGGCGGCTCAGCCCGTGCAAGAGGAACGTGGCAAGGGTGCCGGGAAGGAGGTGGCCTTTCCGCAGCGGGAAGACCAGTGAGCAGCTGAGCGGCTCGGGACGTTGCAGTGAGGTGCAGGCTGGGGCGTCCTGTTCCTCCTCTCGCCTGGGTGTCCAAGCCCGGCCTGGCTGCGTCACCCTCGCCCGTCCTTGCTGCTGCAGCAGCAGCACCCTGCAGCCCCGAGCAGGATCCATGTCCCCGAGCTTGCTGATGGAGAAGGACGTTGTCCATCTTCAGGTGTCACCTTGTAACGTGAACCCAAGTGGAGGGGACGGGCAGAGGGGGGCCAGGCAGGGCGAGACAAGAGCAGCGCCGGGCACGGCCGTCGCTTGGAGAAGGAGGCACCTTCGGGACAGCCAGCCCCCCCCGCTGACCTTGCGTGTCCAGGCCGCTCGGTCGTATGGGAGAGGCTGCTGGAATCATGGTTTTGAGGAGGAGCAGCCAAGCGGGTGCCGGAGCTGGAGCTCTGCTCGAGGAGCACCCAGGCAGCGGCACAGCAGGCAGGGCAGGAGCAGGCACCCCGCGCCTCCAAAATGCCAGGGTGTAGCGTTCCTGGGTCACGGGGCAGTGGTGACAGTCGAGGGGCATCACCTGGGTCCCAGCGGGGTCTGCAGGGAGGTGAAGGAGCACCTGGAGGGGTGGTGGATGCCGTGTCCTGGCAGACATGCTGCTGCTGGCACGGGAGATGTTTGCGGTGCGACGGGACGTGCTCAGCACATGCCCGTGCCAGGCGGAGGGTGGTTTGGAGGGGCTCCCGAGCATGGCAGGTTTGAGTAGATCAGGCAGGTTCCTGCCTTAGAGCTGGACTCAGCGGCCCGGGCGTGCTCTGCCCCAGGGAGTCTGCGGTCGCCGGGTGGGATGGAGGAGCGAGG